TAACTAGGAATACAACTAACAAGGGGTGTGAAGAACCTCTTCAAGGAGAACTACAAACCACTGCTCAAGGAAATAAGAGAGGACACAAACAGATGGAAAAACCTTCCATGCTCCTGGTTAGGAAGAATCAGTATTGTGAAAATGGCCATACTGCCCAAAGTAATTTATAGATTCAGTGCTATGCCCATCAAGCTACCATTGACTTTCTTCACAGAATTGGGGAAAAAAACACCTTAAGTTTCATATGGAACCAAAAAATAGCCAAGACAATTCTAAGAAAAAGAAAGAAAAAAAAAAAAAAAAGCTGGAGGCATCACGCTACCTGACTTCAAACTATACTACAAGCCTGCAGTAATCAAATCAGCATGGTACTGGTACCAAAACAGAGACATAGACCAGTGGAACAGAACAGAGTCCTCAGAAATAATGCCACACATCTACAACCATCTGATCTTTGACAAACCTGACAAAAACAAGCAATGGGGAAAGGATTCCCTATTTAATAGATGGTGTTGGGAAAACTGGCTAGCCATATGCAGAAAGCTAAAACTGGACCCCTTCCTTACACCTTATACAAAAATTAATTCCAGATGAATTAAAGATTTAAACCTAAGAGCTAAAATTGTAAAAACTCTAGAAGAAAACCTAGGCAGTACCGTTCAGGACATAGTCATGTGCAAGGACTTTATGACTAAACACCAAAAGCAATGGCAACAAAAGCCAAAATAGACAAATGGGATCTAATTCAACTAAAGAACTTCTGCAAAAGAACCTATCATTAGAGTGAACTGGGAACCAACAGAATGGCAAAAAATTTTTGCAATCTACCCATCTCACAAAGAGCTAATATCCAGAATTTACAAGGAACTTAAACAAATTTATAAGAAAAAAACAACCCCATGAAAAAAAAGTGGGCAAACTATATGAACAGACACTTCTCAAAAGAAGACATTTATGCAGCCAACAAACATATGAAAAAAAGCTCATCATCACTGCTCATTAGAGAAATGCAAATCAAAACCACACTGAGATACCATCTCAAGCAGGTTAGAATGGTGATCATTAAAAAATCAGGAGACAACAGATGCTGGAGAGGATGTGGAAAAATAGGAATGCTTTTACACTGTTGGTGGGAGTGTAAATTATTTCAACCGTTGTGGAAGACAGTGTGGCGATTCCCCAAGGATCTAGAACTAGAAATACCATTTGACCCAGCAATCCCATTACTGGGTATATACCCAAAGGATTATAAGTCATTCTGTTATAAAGACACATGCACATGTATGTTTATTGCAGCACTGTTCCCAATAGCAAAGACTTGGAACCAACCCAAATGCCCATTAGTGATAGACTGGATAAAGAAAATGTGGCACATATACACCATGGAATACTATGTAGCCATAAAAAAGGATGAGTTAATGTCTTTTGCAGGGACATAGATGAAGCTGGAAACCATCATTCTCAGCAAACTAACACAAGAACAGAAAACCAAACACCACATGTTCTCATAAGTGAGTGTTGAACAATAAGAATACATAGACACGGGGAGGGGAACATCACACACTGGGGCCTGTCAGGATTTGGGGGACTAGGGGAGGGATAGCATTTGGAGAAATACCTAATGTAGATGATGGGGTGATGGATGCAGCAAACCACCATGGCACGTGTATACCTATGTAACAAACCTGCATGTTGTGCACATGTACCCCAGAACTTAAAGAATAATAATAAAAAAAATAACGTGAGGCTAAGTGCATTAAAAATTGCTTTTTTTCTTTTAAATGGGGGGATTTTATAAATTCTGTAGTGTATGAAAGGAGAGTTAGAAAGACCAAAAATATGACATTTATTTCCTTCAATAAATCATTAGAAATTGTTTTAATTTACAATGGTATAAGTACATTTGAAAGAATGTAAACTATTTTAAGTATGTAACATTGAATTCATAAAAGGATGCTTAGGATCCAGCATACTACAGAAATTCAAAGCACGTGAGATGATTTATTTTGCAAAAGGCAAAATAGGAAGCAAAGAAGCCTAAAACATAGGAAGAAATCATAATAGTGTGAAATGAATCTGTAAATTTGAAGGTTTAGAGAAACTTAAAGCCTGTGGGAAAATATTGAATAATTTTGTGGCCCTATTTGCAGTATTGCCTGAAACCAAGATTATTGGAAGAAATCAGAAAGACTGGCTTTGACAAAAAGAAATACAATGAACTAGGATTGACCTTTTCCCAAAGCACTGCTTAAAGGAATATCACTATTTTTAACATGGAGAAAAGTGGTAAAAACAGTAAGAATATGACGGGTTTTTTGATTTGCATAGAAAAGGTCACAGTGAATTACAAAAAAAGCTAACATTAGAATCATACACCTGTCTTTTTTAGTAGTCTGCACAATTTTAGGAAAACCTGAATATGACATTTGGAAACAGTTTCATGTGGAAAAAAATGTTAAAGGTTAGAAAAGAAGCCATCAAGAAAATTGGACAAAATTGAGATTACTCAGGTTGGAGACGAGAACTCTCAGCCTCAGTTGCTTTGGGGCGCACAGGGTTCTTATTAGAGCCCATTAGACAGGGGTTGTCATCTACACTGTAAGAAAAAACAAATTTAAATTACAGCCTACGAATCTGCATTGGATATACAAAGCCACATCTTTAGATCCTTAGTTCTTTGAAACAGGGTGAAAGTCCAGCTATACGTCATGTAACAATGAGATATAGCCTGAGAAATGTGTAGTTAGGCACATTTTGTCATTGTGCAAGCATCATAGCGTATTTACACAAACCTAGATGGGATAGCCTACTACACACCCAGGCCATGTGGTATGGCCTATTGCTCCTAGGCTACAAACCTGTACAGCGGGTTACTGTACTGAATACTGTAGGGGATTGTAACACAATGGAAAGTATTTGTGTATCTAAACATAGAAAAGGCACAGTAAAAATACAATGTTGTAATTGTATGGGGCCACCATCATATATGTGTTGTTGACAGAAATGTTATTATATGGTATTATGACTGCACTTGGAATCCCATTGACTCTGTTAGAATAGTAGTGGTACTCTTCCAATTTTGTGAAATCCAAGCCAGAAGAAATCATGACAGCTAAAGAAATTTTCAGCTCATCTGGGAGTAACTCACATTCCCCCTGCTTAGTTGACCTCAAAATCCTTTTATCATAGGACCCAGGTCTCCCTGTCCCATTTTGTGTTTGCCTGGCTCCCTTAACCTGAGTAGGCTGATTCACTCACTCCTTACCGAAGTGATTTTATACACGATACCTGACCCCGGAAATCACTTATGTAATTCCCACCCTACTCCTTACCCAGGAGATCTGAAAGCCTGTTTTCAGAGATACTTTCAGAAAACTGCCCAAATACTGCTTTCCAAAGAGACACCTACCAAAAAAATCACTGAACTTTCTATCCAATCAAGAAAACTCATTTGGAGTTCTCTGAAGCACTAATAAAAACCAGGAATGCAGGGTTTGTCTCTGACGGTATCCACCAATACCATAGGTGCAGTGAAGACTGTGGAACTGTTGCCACCAAGACAGATTCGATGATCGCTTTTCAGAAGGCAAGATGGTACTGGCAAGAAAGCAAGTGATGTGTCACTGTCTCCTTCCTTCTGACTCTGGGGTAAGGGATGCTGATGTCCCCTACCTCTTACCTCAGAATATGCAGGTCAAACTGCATATTTACAACTGGTAAAGAACTATCCAGGCAAATTAGGAATGGTGCAAACGCTTATCAAACTTCTGTATCCCCTCTAGAGCGGACATTCTGTACTGGAGGATGCTAATGGCCTGATTGGACACTAAGTATCAGCACCACTACTGCCAGATACTAGATGCTGGCACCTGTGAAATGAGATTTAACCTGTGGCTGCTGCTTAGTGTCATTGACTCCAAGCTAAAAACCCTCAAAAGAGCACTCAGGTCACAGCTGGGGGCATGGGCCACACTCGTGCTGCCGTAGTCTCATTGTCAATTGCCTAATCATCTGTGTCCCTCTCAGCTTCTGTAGAAGAAGGCAGGGCTCCAAAGCTCACCCAACAGCTATTCCACGAACTAAGGGAGGGGTTGAGATGCTGTGTAGCCAAAAAATGACAGAAGTCCATCCCATATATCCTACGTAATGTTAATTATGCCTTATAGAATGTCAAATTTGTTTCTTCTTATTGACCTAACCATATTTATGTTTAGGGACTATCATTTTTTCGTTTTTGTTTGTTTTGAGATGGAGTCTAGCAGCTTCGTTGCCCAGACTGGAGTGCAGTGGCGTGATCTTTGCTCACTGCAACCTCCACCTCCCAGGTTTAAGTGATTCTCCTGCCTCAGCCTCCTGAGTAGCTGGGACTACAGGCATGCACCACCAAGCCTGGCTAATTTTTGTATTTTCAGTAGACAGGGTTTCACTTTGAACTGCTGACCTCAAGTGACCCGCCCACCTCGGCCTCTCAAAGTGCTGGGATTACAAGCGTGAGCCACTGTGCCCGACTCTCTTTATTTTTTCTTTTAACCAACCACAGCCCATGGTGTGTGCTAGGGATAAGGTAGATACTATATTATCCTGCTGCTACTACTTCTATTATTATTATAAAAAACGAAACACCTCACAGTTCTATAGAGATTTATAGTTTATAAAGTGCTTCTATAGAGATTTATAGAATATAAAGAGAATATGTTATTCTCACTCAATACTCAGAATTACTGAGATAAGCATAATTATTGGCATTTGCTAATGAGGAAATTGTGTTCCTGGTGCAGTTCTTTATGGTCATACAAATAGTGAAACTAAAGCTGGAGTTTGAATCCAAGTTTCCTGGTTACCTCAGTGCTGATCTTCACTCTATCAGTCAGTGTGGTTCTTACTTATTTTATTCAATAATAGATATTTCTATCTAGGATAGACAGCCTTTCCTACTAGAGAGTAATGCTTTTGCTTTGATCTTGCTTCATTCTTTGATTGTTTTATTTTATTTTTTTCAGGAAGATATATTTTAGCAGGTGAAGCACTCAAGCTGGGCATTCTAGATAAAGTTGTGAACTCAGACCCACTTGAAGAAGCAATCAGATTTGCTCAGAGAGTTTCAGGTAAGAAGATAAAAATAGAAGTAGCCTAAGATTGTAAACAAGATACATGTTCATTTCAGTAAGGAACTCCTAAATATCTTTTGGTCCATCCAGGTGATGGAATATGATACAGCTTAAAAATGAATAAGAAATTGTGTGTATTGATATGGTATGAAGCCCATATTATTAAGTGAAAAAAGCATTATTGTATATAGTGGTTTGCCATTGGTGTAACACAGGCGTCCCCAAACTTTTTACACAGGGGGCCAGTTCACTGTCCTTCAGACCGTTGGAGGGCTGCCACATACTGTGCTCCTCTCACTGACCACCAATGAAAGAGGTGCCTCTTCCTGAAGTGCGGCGGGGGGCCAGATAAATGGCCTCAGGGGGCCACATGTGACTCGCGGGCTGTAGTTTGGGGACGCCTGATGTAACAAAAAGGAGGGGGTGGGATAAAATACGGGGAAAATGTATATGTGTGTGTGTGTATATATATATATATATATATATATATATATATATATATATATAACTGCTTATGTATAAAATATTTCTGTAGAGATTCACAAGAAATGTTTGATGGCTGCCTCTGGGAATAGGGCTGGTCCACTAGCAGAAGCTACTGGGAGGAGACTTTTCACTGTTTACCTTTCTGTAGCTTTAAAAATTTTTTTATCACATGAATTTTTTTTCTATTAAAAAAGAGGGACTCCTCCATAACTCATTTTATGAGGTCAGCATCATCCTGATTTCAAAACCTGGCAGAGATACAATAAAAAACAAAACTTTAGGCCAATATCCCTGATGAACATCAATGCAAAAATCCTCAATAAAATACTGGCAAACTAGGCTGAGTGCAATGGCTCACGTCTGTAATCCCAACACTTTGGGAGGCCAAGGCAAGTGGATCACTTGAGGTCAGGAGTTCAAGACCAGCCAAGCCAACATGGTAAAACCCTGTCTCTACTAAAAATACAAAAATTAGCTGGGTGTGGTGGCGCTCACCTGTAATCCCAGCTACTCGGGAGGCTGAGGCATGAGAATTGCTTGAACCCAGGAGGCGGAGGTTGTGGTGAGCCCAAATTGCGCCACTGCACTCCAGCCTGGGTGACAGACCAAGACTTCACCTTATTTTAAAAAAATACTGGCAAACTGAATCCAGCATCACATCAAACAGCTTATCTACCACAATCAAGTCAGCTTCATCCCCAGGATGCAAGGCTGGTTCCACATATGCAAAACAATAAACATAATTCACCACATAAACAGAACTAAAGAACAACCACATGATTATCTCAACAGAGGCAGAAAAGGCCTTTGATAAAATACAACATCCCTTCATGTTAAAAACTCCCAATAAACTAGGTATTGCTGGAACATACCTCAAAATAATAAGAGCTATTTATGACAAACCCACAGGCAATATTATACTGAATGGGCAAAAGCTGGAAGCATTTCCCTTGAAAACCAGCACTAGACAAGGATGCCGTCTCTCACAACTCCTATTCAACATAGTATTGGAAGTTCTGGCCAGGGCAATCAGGCAAGAGAAATAAATAAAGAATATTCAAGCGCTGGGTGCGGTGACTCCTGCCTGTAATCCCAGCACTTTGGGAGGTTGTGGTGGGTGGATCATGTGAAGTCAGGAGTTCAAGACCAGGCTGACCAACATGGTGAAACCCTGTCTCTGCTAAAAATACAAAAATTAGCTGGGCATGGTGGCAGGGGCCTGGGAGGATACTTATATTCAGAACAAGGCTAATTGGGAGGCTGAGGCAGGAGAATCTCTTGAACTTGGGAGGTGGAGGTTGCAGTGAGCCGAGATTGTGCCACGGTACTCCAGCCTGCACAACAGAACGAGACTTTGTCTCAAAAAAAAAAAAAAAAAAAAAAAAAAGTACTCAAAAAGGAAGAGAGAAAGTCATACTGTCTCTGTTTGTGGATGACATGATCCTATACCTAGAAAACCCCATATTCTCAGCCCAAAAGTTTCGTTTTCTTTTTGAGATGGAGTTTCGCCCCTGTTGCTCAGGCTGAAGTGCAACGGCATGATCCTGGCTCACCGCAACCTCCACCTCCTGGATTCAAGAAATCCTTCTGCCTCAGGCTCCCCAGTAGCTGGAATTACGCCACCACACTTGGCTAATTTTGTATTTTTAGTAGAGATGGGGCTTCTCCATGTTGATCAGGGTGGTCTCGAACTCTCGACTTCAGGTGATTATCCACCTTTGCCTCCCAAAGTACTGGGATTACAGGGATGAATCACCACCCCCAGCCACCCAGAAGTTTCTTAAGCTGATGAGCAACTTCAGCAAAGTCTCATGATACAAAATCAATGTGCAAAAATCACAAGCATTCCTATATACCAACAGTAGACAAGCAGAGAGCCAAATCATGAATGAACTCCCATTCACAGTTGCTACAAAGAGAATAAGATACCTAGGAATATAGCTAACAAGGAAACTGAAGGATGTCTTCAAAGAGAACTACAAACCACTGCTCAAGGAAATCAGAAGGACACAAACAAACAGAAAAAAATTCCATACTCATGGATAGGAAGAATCAATATTGTGAAAATGGCCATACTTCCCAAAGTAATTTATAGATTCAATGCTATTCTCATTAATTTCCATTGATATTCTTCACAGAACTAGAAAAAAAAAAAACTACTTTAAAATTTGTATGGAACCAGAAAAGAGCTCATACAGCCAAGACAATCCTAAGCAAAAAGAACAAAGCTGGACACAGCACACTACCATCTTCAAACTATATTACAAGGCTACAGTAACCAAAACAACATGGTACTAGTATCAAAACAGATATATAGATCAATGGAACAGAACAGAGGCCTCAGAAATAATACTGCATATCTGTAACCATCTGATCTTTGACAAACAGGACAAAAACAAGCAAGGGGGAAAGGATTCCCTGTTTAATAATGATGCTGGGAGAACTGGCTAGCCATATGCAGAAAATTGAAACTGGACCCCTTCCTTACACCTTATACAAAAGTTTACTCAAGATAGATTAAAGACTTCAATGTAAAACCCAAAACTGTAAAAACCCTAGAAGAAAATCTAGGCAATACCATTGAGGACACAGGCATGGGCAACGATTTTATGATTAAAACGTCAAAAGCAACTGCAATAAAAGGTAAAATTAACAAATGGGATCTAATTAAACTAAAGAACTTCTGCACAGCAAAAGAAACTATCAACAGAGTGAACAGATGACCTACAGAATGGGAGAAAAGTTTTGCAATCTATCCATCTGACAAAGTCCTAACATCCAGAATCTACAAGGACCTTAAACAAATATACAAGAAAAAAAAAACAACTCATTAAAAATTGGGCAAAGGACATGAAGAGACACTTCTCAAAAGAAGACATTCACGTGGCCAGCAAACATATAACAAAAAGCTCAACATCACTGATCATTAGAGAAATGCAAATTAAAACCACAATGAGAAATCATCTCAGGCCAGTCAGAATGGCAGTTATTAAAGTCAAGAAACACCAGATAGATGCTGGCGAGGCTGTGGAGAAATGGATCACTTTTATACCGTTAGTGAGAATGCCAATTAGTGCAATCATCGTGAACGACAATGCAGTAATTCTCCAAAGACCTAGAACCAGAAATACCATTTGACCTAGCAATCCCATTACTGGGTATATACCCAAAGGGATATAAATCATTCTGTATTATAAAGATACATGCATGCATATATTCATTGTAGCACTATTCACAATAGTGAAGACATGGAATCAACCCAAATGCCCATCAGTAATAGACTGGATAAAGAAAATGTGGTACATATACACTATGGAATACTATGTAGCCATAAAAAGGAATGAGATTGTATCCTTTACAGGGCATGGGTGGAGCTGGAAGCCATTATCCTTAGCAAACTAAGGCAAGAACAGAAAACCAGATACTGCATGCTCTCATTTAAAAGTGGGAGCTGAGCAATGGGAATACATGGACACAGGGAGGGAAACAACACACGCTATGGGCTGTCAGCAGGGGGGAGGGGAGGGAGAGCATCAGGACAAATAGCTAATGGATGCTGGGCTTAATATCTAGGTGATGGGCTGATAGGTGCAGCAGATCACCATGGCACACATTTATCTATGTAACAAACCTGCACATTCTGCACATGTGTCCTGGAACTTAAAATAAAATTAAAAAAAAAAAAATTAAAACTACCAAGCAGACAAACACTTCAGTAGATGGAAGACAGGCTTGCTAGTCTGTTGTGTTGCTATAGAGAAAAACCTGAGGAAACACCGAATGTTCTCACTCATAGGCGGGTGTTGAACAGTGAGAACACATGGACACAGGGAGGGGAACATCACACACTGGGGTCTGTTGGGGGATGGGGGGCTAGGGTAGGGATAGCAGGGGGTGGGGAGGTTGGAGAGGGATAACATTGGGAGAAATGCCTGATGTAGGTGACGGGGGTGGGGGGGTATGGAGGCAGTAAACCACCACGGCATGTGTGTACCTATGCAACAATCCTGCAAGATCTGCACATGTACTCCAGAGTTTAAAGCATAATAAAAAAGAAATAGAAGAAAAAAAGGTTTAAATGGCTTACAGTTCTACAGGCTATACAGGCATGGAATCAGCATCTACTCAGCATCTGGGGAAGTCTCAGAGAGCTTTTTCCCATGGTCAAAGGTGAACCAGGAATGGCCACATCATATGGCAAGAGAGCAAGAGAGAGAAGTGTGGAGGTCCCAAACTCTTTTAAACGAGCAGGTCTCTCATCAACTAACTGAGTGAAAACTCTTATCACCAAGCAGATGGTGCTAAACATTCCTGAGGGATCAGCTCCCAGGACCAGCTAGTCACCTCCCACAAGGCTCTCACCTCAAACACCGGGGATCGTATTTCAGCATGGGATTTGGAGCGGACAAACATCCAAACCATATCACAGGCTTTGTAATTTACTGCAGTAAAGCTGTGGGCCTTGAGAACTTCTGTCTCAGCAAACTGAGTTATGTCCTGCTCTCAGAGGT